AGCTGCCTGCCCGCCCGCCTGCCCGCGCTGCCCGTCACTCCTGACCGCCGTGGGGCCGGCCTGCCGGAGAAGGGCCCCTCAGGTGAAAAGCAACACCGCTGGCAGCAGCGGGTCCTGATGGGAGACGCTCTGGCCTGAGGTGGCCTCCGCTGAGTGGGAGAGGAGAGGCTCAGGGTGCGAGCGTGTGCCTCGGTGTTCGCTGGCTGTTTTACAGAAGGACTGTCCGAATTCTCGAGGGGGGTGGCGGAAGCCTGACTTTTGTGGCCCCCTCCTCACAGCTGGGGAAAGGCAAATGGTTGATTTCCTTGCTTTTGATTAAAAACTCTCATGCCGGTGAGCCTGAAATGAGATCAAAATGATTCTGCTGCTTTTAGGGGTTTTTTTGGAAAAAAAAACCCTTTTGTCAAGAGACCAGAAGCACAGCTTTTCTACCCAAATCTTCCTTCTTTTTAAATCATTCCAGCCTTCCTGTCACTCCCAAACCAGGGAAGCTCTCCGTGTGGACAGCTGATACTTCCAAACAGGCTCTGAAATGAAGGTGTGGCATTTTCATATACCCTGCCCTCTGACAGCAGTGATGTTTGTGTGTCACTTGAACTACATCATGGCATCAGTCCTGTAGCCTGAAACTTTGGAGACCTTATCCCTTCTAACTTGTGTGCTTGGTCCCCCATGAATGTCTTCCTCTTATCTGTCCTTGGGATAGGGATAGAGATACGCCCAAGAAACACCACTTGTGTTTATGTGGTAGGGAATGCACCCATCTGGGGGTTGGACAGGGGAAGTGTGTACACATTCCCTCCTTTGGCTTCAACTTGTGCAGACTGTTTGCCCTTTGAAGTCCATGTCTGTAAGTGGTAGGGCCGAGCTGGGATATTTAGAGGTGCCCCATCCTCTGATCATGCCTCCAGTGCCTCCTGAAGGAGCCTTGTCCTGTAGAAGAGACCTTCTACATTTGAGCTCAATTTCTGTGGCTAGGAGATGGGATTAACAGCATGATTTTGCTAGGACGCAGTCTGGGGGGTTACCTGTCTTCCTTCTACAGCCTTTGGTGTCCTGATGTGTTAAGTCTCACTAGTCATGGAGGAAATTGGGATCTGAGCATGCATATTCCCCCAGGGTTTCTCTGCAGTGCCCGTAAGGGGACTGGGACCTTTTTCCCTTGGAATGTTGCCCTTTTTTGTGGCATCTCTGGGAATAATCATTTGCCTGTGTTCCCTCTCTTGTCCAGCACAGGCGCAAAGGCCTGTGTGGGAATGGGTTCCACAGCCATGTCCCTTGCTTCTTCCCCCAAATGCTAGCAACTGCTGCCCTTGTGGACGTCCTCTGCATATTCACATCTATAGAGAAGCATCAGAAACTGTAGGGTTTTCTCTTCACCTTACCAAGCCCAGACAGCTCTGTGATACCATGTCCTGGGTGAAGATGGTGGCTGCAGTCCTGGGGCACTCCAACAATTTTGGTTATGCTCAGGATTGCTGGGACACGTGGGAGCTTCCCATGCTGATGTGCGAAGAAAGACTGGCTGGAAGTCATCTCCTTTCATCAGAGAATGCCTGCATTTGATGTTCTCTCCATGGCTCTGAAGAACAATGTTTTGAGGGGGAGATTGTTATTGCTACCCCAGAGCTCGGGTGCACATAAAATACTGGTGAGCTACAGAATGGAGAGGTGAATTATAAAGTGGTGGACCTCCCAAGTTCAAAAGGTGATGATCAATAATGCAAAGTCCAGCTGGCAGATGGCTACTAGTGGAATCCTTCAGGGATCAATACTGTCTTTATTAACAACCTGGGTGATTGGACAGAGTTAACTCTCAGCTAGGTTGTAGATGATACCAAGTTGGAAGGAGCAATCGATATACTGGAGGGCAAGGCTACTATTGAGACTGACCTTGACAGGCCAAGGAATGTATCAAAAGAAACACCACCAAGTTCAACGAAGTTTAGAGCAAAGTCCTGATGCTGATGTGCGATAACGTCATGGAACAGAAGAGTCTTGGGGCTGATTGGCTGGAAAGCAGCTTTGCAAAAAGAGACCTGGAGTTCCTGTGAACAAGTGAATGTTAAGTCAGTAAAGAAAGCATATTCTGGGCCATCTTAAAAGGAACATAGGCAGCAGGTCAAGGAAGATGATGATTCCCCTCTGTTCAGCACTTGCGAAACCCCTTCTGCACTACTGCGTCTAGTTTGGGGCTCCCCAGAACATGGTAGACTTTGGTATACTGGAGCAAGTTCAGGAGAGGTGGAGGCTGGAGCACAAGACATGATGCTGAGACAACTGGGTTTGTTCTATCTCAAGAAGAGAAGGCTCGGGTGGGATCTTAATGTGACATTCAGCTACCTTTTGGTGGGGTATATAAAAGGCAGAGCTAGATTCTTCTTGCAGACGCACAGAGATAGGATGAGAACCAATGGACGCAACACAAGACATTTCAGTTAGATATTCAGAAAAGATTTTTCACAATGTAGTTAAGCACTGGAACAGGGACCCTGAAAAATTCTTGAATGTCTTGTAGGTTTTCAGAACTGAACTGGACAAGGCCTTGAGCAGCTGCTCCAGTTTGGGCTTGCTCTGAGTGGGAGTTGAACCAGAGATCTCCAGATGTCTCTTCCAAACTATATTACTCTGTGATTTATCATCATCTAATGATTCTACAAATGATGATTTTAAAAATACCCTACAGGACCCTGTAGTCAGGTACTCCGTTTTCTACACTTCTAACACCCTTGCAACTCCCACTGATTCTCTGCCCATTTTTCTGCAGCACCACTTCCTTTTGCTCCCTTTAAGCATCTCCTTGGTCTTTGCCTCTGTCCTGCATTGTTCGTCTCTGTCTAGAACCAATATTTATTCTGTACACTTGAGATTTAGTATCTAATATGCTTTTAATTCCTCATGACTGAGTCAACAAATATAGCAGCTGAAAAAAACCCCGAACCATACAACTGATTCTGTTGTTCACAAGGCCTTTGAGAAGAAAGGAATGGCCATTACTCC